CCCTTTTTTTTTTTTTTTTTTTTTCTTCTTCTCCTAGAGCTAAATGTTTCTTTTAGCTCAGTTGCAGTCAAAGACCATAATTAAATAGGCTGCATCTGCTTGAAGTCTTAGCTACTCATTTTGCTAATGCCTTCAGACAGATGCTGAATCGTCTGAGAGACGATTGCTGCAGTGTCAGGCTCCCCAGTTCTCATGAATGTCTCCGTAGGAAGAGGAAATTGTTTGTAGGATGGAGACTCCCTTGATACCAAACACCACCTTCCTTCACCCTGCTGAAATGACAGTTTCTTCTGGAAAATGGTCAGTGTTTGCTTCTTGATGTGCGTGGCCAAGCCTGTTTCACCCTGTTTTCTCTTCTCTGTGCCGGGCCCTGCAGCCGCAGCCTGACCCCTGCTCGAGAAACGCGTCCGCGTCCAGCGGGAGGGACGGTGCCCAGCCGCAGGCTCGGGCCATCGTGGATGCGAGTGCGGGCGCTGGAATCGGACAGATCTGACAGAAAATCAGTAGGAACAGAGTCGTGCCACTCCGAGGATGCTGCCAGCCCTCCGGGGAGCTGTATGGAGGGCAACGCTCGGGCTGCGTTCCGACTTGTTTGTTTTACAGGACGTTTCTTTCTCCATCTCCAGCGTAAGGAAATGATCGCGTGCCAGTGCTTCTCTGGGACTGACTTCCTGCTGGAAATAGCTGCAGACTCAGCACCTGCCATCCACATTGTTGTTACTTGGAGGCTGGTCCTGGCTTCGCTCCGGAGGTGGCACCGCGGCGGGCTGGGCGCTGTCGCCTGCTGCTTCCGCCCCGCCGGGTCCCCTCGGCGTTTGGCCGCAGGATGTGGTGAGGCTGTGACACAGCTCTCGGTAACCAAAGCTGCTGCCTCGTGCTCCCACGTCCCGCCGCGCTGTTCGCGACTTCCTCTAACCACGTCTGTGGTGTGAGCAGACACCTCATAAGGACGTGTTTTCTGGGAGTTTTCTTATTTTTCTCTTTTTTTTGACTCTCGCGCAGCAGCTCACGGGGTCTCGGCACCTGTTTTAGCAGGGCTCGTGTGCAGTGAATTCACCTTGCAGCCCAGGGCGGATGTCGCCAAACCACATTAAAATGCTTTTTTTGGTTTCTCCCAACGCGTGTCGTGGCCCATGTTGCAACAGGAGTTTGGATCTCTCTGCTCCTGCACAGAAGAGGTTACTGAGCCTGTTCCCGCAGGAAAAGCAGCGCTAGGAAAAATGTTGAGCCCATTCTTAGTGGGACGAACTGAAGTGGTTTGGGTTTTCTTCCTTGCTGTAATTAAATAAGAAAACAAGAGGCCTTGGTTTAAATCTTTTTAATCTTTCTCCAGAGAAAAGTGCTGATTAGCACTATGCAACATCTGTTAGAGATGGGCTGAATTATGGCAGAGGTAGTCTTGACCTCGAATTTGTGATTTTCCTGCCGACATTTGGGAATACTATTTACCTGTTGGAACAACACTATAGCCTCAGATAAATCTAAGTACAATTTCTGCTTGTTGAAAGGGTTTTGTTTGCTTGCTTGCTCATAAAATTATAGAAATTCGTATTGCCAGATTTGGGAAGGCATCAGCTTTAATCTGTTACTTTATTTCTCTGTCCAGCACATGTAAAATAATATTTTTGGTACACACAGCTTTCTGCCTTGAGCTTCCATGAAAGAGCAGCTTGACACAAATTATACGAGGGGATGGATGTGAGAACAAAGGAGGTATAATTAGCTACAGATAAACAGAGCTGTGTTTCTCGTCAGCATCCTTTCAGATCTTAACTTGTGTCTCACCCTCTTGGAGCGAATTTTTTTCCACAGACTGGAAGAGGAAGGCGAGCTTTCCGTGGTCTTCCAGCTTTCAACCAGCCTTCGACTTGAAGTGAGCTCAACTGAAACGAAAAATATGTTTGTGGTCTGTCTGCACCTGCAGCAGAAGCTGTGGCTGCTCTCCGTGCTGATGTTATTTCAGGATATTCTCTTTCCGGGTGCCTGAGCTGCGACTTCTTCTTCTTGTTCCCCTCTGCCCTTTCATGTTCTGTCTTTAGCGCTATGACAGCGCGCCCGGCTCCTGCTCAAACGGCTGTTTCCTTGGAGTATGTCTGGCTACAGACCTGAACTTTATTGTAGGTTGTCGTAACCTTTCCTTCTAGGTAGGCTTGTTTCCAAAGAGGAGGCGGGGGGGTGACGTGTAGGGAGAAAAATCTGATCCAGGTAAAGCCCAACCTAAAGTTTTACCCTTCCTAAGTATTTGCTGTACTGGAGCCGAGGAGGTGATGGTGGAGTTTCTCCTTGTTTCTGTGGGGTTTGGGTCTCGGTGTGGTGATGCCGGGGTGAATGGCAGCGATCTTGTGTTGGGGGGCGTGGGGGCATTACGCCTTGATGTCTCATTTTGCCCCTTCCCGTCGTGCCTCTTCCCTGTGGGGCTGGTTCTTTCATGCCCACGCTGAGCAACGGAGACCCTGCGGGGTGACCCTTCGTTCAGCCCAGGTCACCTCCGACAGCCGAGCTGCCGCTCTGTGCTGGAACGAGACGGGGGAGGAAGGAAAGCTGGCGTTGGTTTCCCCCGCTTCTCAGATCTGGGGCGAGGGCCCAGATGGTATCCCAGATCTCTTCCTATGGGATTTAGACAAGGTTTCCTGTTGAGAGAGCTGCTCCTAATCGCTGCCCTTCTGTGCTGCCTTGCAGATCAGGACCAGATGAGCAGAGGGAGGTTTCTGTGAAGATCAGAGTTGCCCCAGCCCTGCTCTAGGAAGTGGCCCAGCAGCGCTGCGTCTCCAGCTGTCATCGCTACGGACCTGGAAAAGAAAGAAGAGAAGAAAAATGTCCCATGCTTTAAAGCAAGTGTTCAATAAAGACAAAACCTTCCGGCCCAAGCGCAAGTTTGAGCCAGGGACTCAGCGGTTTGAGCTGCACAAGAAGGCTCAGGCCTCGCTCAACGCTGGCCTGGACTTGAAAGTTGCCGTCCAGATGCCACCAGGAGAGGAGCAGAACGACTGGGTGGCCGTGCACGTGGTGGACTTCTTCAACCGCATCAACCTGATCTACGGCACCATCAGTGACTATTGCACGGAGCAGTCCTGCCCCGTCATGTCGGGGGGGCCCAAGTATGAGTATCGATGGCAGGACGAGCACAAGTACCGGAAACCCACGGCCCTGTCTGCTCCCCAGTACATGAACCTCCTGATGGACTGGATTGAGGTACAGATCAACAACGAGGACATCTTCCCCACTAATGTCGGTGAGTTCCGTTCCGGGGGCAGCGGTGGGGAGGGAGGCCAGTGCAGAGCCGCCTGCTTTGAGCCCATTTCCCTTCCAGGAGATGCTGTTGCACAGGTCGCCCTTGCAGCAGAGCTATTTGCTTTTGTGCTGCTCGGGGGCTGGGGGCTGGCAGCGTGTTAAGCTCTTCCAAGCACCCAAAGAAACTTCAGAGCTCTTCTGGAGTGCTAAAATATCCAGAGCTGTACCAGCTCCCGTTTGGAGTCAGGGAGACCTCGAGGAAAGCCAGGCTGAGCCTGGGCAGCAAAACCAAGAGTCTCTGACATGAGTCCTGAGCAGTTCATGCTGGACGTGGTCTCCTGAAGGACAGCTCTTTCAGCACTGATTGCTAGCTTGGGTTCAACGTGCGTGCCCTGCGTTGGCCTGGTGATGGTGGCTGTGTTTCCATAATTAGCCTCTTTGTTATTATGGGCTGGCATTAGCTGACTCTGCCCTTTCTAACTCGGTGCTTCCTGGCTGCACTCGGCTGCTTGCTGCAGCTGGGTGGGATGCTGACATGTGCGGGGAGGGAGGGGCAGTGTTTTATCTATTGCCAGTGGGATGGAAATGAGAATTTGGCCTCAGACGCCTGAATCTGCATCTCCAAACGCAGCTTCGTGCGGCTGGCTTCGGGACAAAGATTGTTGGGGGTTTTTGTTTGTTTTGTGCTGAGTAAGATGTGAGAATTCAGGATCTGAAGCATTAGGTAAATACGATTGATCCCATTCAGAGCTCCCATCTTCTGGGCTGTAGCAGAGCTCCCTCCCTCCTGGCCCCAGCGTTTATCCCATCCCAGCTCTGATGGGACGCAGTTGGGGACGTGTCCGCTGCTTCTGCCACACGAGCATCCACAGGGCTCCTCCGCCCGTGCCAAAACGCTGCTTAAACCTGGTGGTGTGTGGACAGAGGAGGGGAGCAGGGCCATCGACAGCCGCTTCTTCAGACAGCTGAAACACTCGAAATCCTCCCCACCCGTTCCTCGTGTTGCCCAAACAACTGCTGCGTTGCCTTTAGTTGGGACTCTTCTGCCAGACGCACTGGGGACTATAAGCAGGGTGTTTGTTCTCTTCGGGGAAGCAAAGACAAGTTTCCGACAGCAGGAGAGTTGGTGGTTTGGGTTTTTGTAATGTTTACCGCTGTTGTTTTCAGCTTGGCTTTTACCCGGTTCCTCACCCTTAACGCTGACTGAAATGCTGCAGTTTTTGCAGAGCGCTGAAAGGGTTTGACTAATCCTCGTTCCTCCAGAAACAACCTGCGTGAACTTTAAACTGTGATATTCTGCTGAGACGGGGAGGGTTGGGCGGGCTGTGGCACTGCAGGGCCCCAGCTAAACAAATCCCAAAGAACTGAAGCCTTCAGAGAGGATCTTAACGTCCTTAATTTTTAACCAAAGAGCTTAACAAAATAAGAGATAACTACGGGGAGTTAACAGCCCTGACTCTTTCTTTTGGCAAGTTGCTGGGTCGTATCTAGTATTTTGCACTGTTTATATGAGCGTGCCAAATAGGAGTAGAAGAAAACTCTCGCAGACTGAAACAGCTGCTGGGAATCTCAGAGGCTGGTCTCTTGCTTTCGGTCTCTAGCAGCGATCGGTGGTGTGCAGCGCTCTGGCACGAAATCTGTGCTTTGAAAAACCTGATCCAAACCGAAAGGAAAAAGGAGAGGGCAACTGGAAATTGCCAGGGACAGAAGCCCTTTTGTCTCAAGCTGTCCGTTTTTATCAATTTATTTTGGGGCCAAGGAACCAGTTTTAACTTGGCTGGAAGTTTCTCACGGTCATGTCTCCCCTCCCAGGTACTCCCTTCCCCAAGAACTTCCTCCCGGTGGTGAAGAAGATTCTCTCCAGGCTCTTCCGAGTCTTTGTCCATGTCTACATCCACCATTTCGACAGGATCACCCAGATGGGGTCGGAAGCCCACGTGAACACCTGCTACAAGCACTTTTACTACTTTGTGAAAGAGTTCAATCTCATAGACACCAAGGAGCTGGAACCACTGGTGAGTGACTGGGTGGGCTCTGTCGGGGTCTGCAGCCAGTGCAGAAGGGGTGGAGACTGGGGGTGGAGGAGTCACAGAGGTCTCAAAACTGGTTGCCCGGAAACTGGTTGGGAATGGGAGCGGTGGGGGGACCTGCCCAAACTGGAGCTCTTAGTAAGTGTCACCGCATGCCTGAGAATTTACAACTGAAGAGAGGTGAGGTGATGAGGTTTTTTTCGTCCACGCCCTCACCTGGCAATCTGGATCTTCGTTCATGGTCCCTTGTCTTCTGTGTCCCTTTGACAGAAGGAAATGACCTCCCGGATGTGCCACTGAGATCAGACCTTCCTGCTCCCACCTCGGCGTCTCTTCCGAGGACTCCGATACCCACTCCTGCATTGGAGATGTGATTCAAGGGGAGAACAGAGACATTTTGTTAAAAAAAAAAATCTATATATTTTCAACGAGTTTCAACGTAAAACTGTGACATTGCAGGAATATTTTTTTAAAGATGCTCTAGATAAACTAGTTTTTTATAGTTAATTTCTATTAAAAAAAAAAAATATTTTTGGGCCACTCGATGGAAATGCTCGCTCTTTGAGGAGGGAGGAGCCACCTTTCCCCGTGCCTCACCGCAGGGGCGCCAAGCGAGCGGAGCCAGATGCTTCAGGTAGAGCCATGTCGTGTGGCTGGTGCTGCCGTGGGTGTGGTACTTCCCTCCGGACACCCGTTTCCCACCCGTGAAGGGAGGTTAAGTGGGGACTGGGGAAGAAATGCTGGTGTACGTGGATCCCCTGGGGTGCTGTTTGGTTCCAGCACCTCTTCCACTGGCTGTGAGTCCAGTGTTTGGACAGGGCTGCTTTTGTGCTCACCCTCCACTTGGCATCCTGTCCCCAAGGCTTGGCCCTCCTTGCTTTCCCTCTGAAAGAAGTTGGATTTGGGGTTTTTTTCATGGCTAGACCAGCGCTGTGGCTGTGGGAAGAGCCTGTGCTGGAGCTCTGCTGTTGGGAATCTGCTCTCGCCTCTGGTGGCAGCTCTGGGTGCGCCGTCCCCGCGGGGACAGGGACCTGCTGGCCGGAGGGAGCGGAGGGCAGGTGCTGTGCCAGGCGTGGGCAAGCGTCTTCTCCTCGACCACCTGCGCTTCCCCATCTCCTTGTGCCCCACTGAGGAGGACCTGGGGCGCTTGCCCTCTGGCCTCACGTACTGGCTGCGTGTGGACTGTTCTCTGCTTCCCATTAGGGTACGGAGCCTTCCCCCTCTTCCCGAGCATCCCGTCCCCGCTCAGCTGCGCCCACCCCGTACCCAGGCTCTGGTGTGCAGCCAGAACCCCCCCCAGCCTTGCCTGCTGCTTGCACGAGCAACGCCGCTGCGTGATGAGAGCTTTGCAGTGCCCCCGAGGTAGGTAGGGAGATCTACCTAGGATTTGGGGAGGGGGCTAGGGGAGCAGGGTTTACAGTAAGAGAAAAGGTTTCTATGAACAGTGACCAAACTGTACCGCTAACCACTTCTTCCTTACAAAGTTTTTTTCTGTGTCCTGGAATCTCTGTACATACGTGACTCTCGTTTCTTGTACTATCGTTAGGACACTCGTACAAATACCACTATAGTTCTCTGAAATGGAACCAATAAATTATGTTGTATTTACATAGCACACGCCGATGGCTAAACGTCCCGTGATTACGCGTTCGTCAGAGGTTTTCTATCAGCAAAACAAACATGGTGTGTTTGGACTCCCCGGGAAGTGCGCTGGAGAGCTGTTTTCCTACGGTTGCTAAAAAGCTCCTGGGTGTGTGCTCCGGCCTCTGGTGCCGTAAGGTTCGATTCCTCCGGCTCTCGAGGTGCCAGGTCCGGGCTGCTCCGAGCCCTGTGCCCGTTCCCAGGGCTGTGGGGCAGAGGGGGCGGGTGCTGGAGCTCACCCAGCACGCTGGGGTTGTCCTGACTTGTCTCCGTGCTGTCCCTCTGCTCAAGGGCTGAATTCTCCCAGCTCTAAAACCTGGGTGGATGTGGGCAGGGGAGGCGAGTTCGAGCTTTTTCCAGCTTGCTGCCGGGCTCTTTGCTGCCGCTGGCAGGAGCCGTGGGCGCAGGCGGCGAGGCTGACGGACTAGGTTGGCCCAAGCTCTGCATTCAGGGTCTGCGAGTTAATTTTCCTGTCCGGGAGGGGAGTAACGGGCTCCACGGCTGTAGCTCCTGCCTGGACCAGACCTGGCTGTGCCCTGCCTGCGGCTCTGGGTCCTGCCCACTCCCCTGGCATGGCAGAGGTGCTGGGCCCTACCAAGCACCCTCTGGCCCCTCTCTCAGTTTTTTGTGGGTGCAGCTCAGCTGGAGCCACGTTCCCCCTGCTCCCGGCCAGGTGCTGCTGGAGGGGACAGAGCCCCCCACGGACCGAGGCCCATCGCTGCCCAGGAGGGGGTGCAGCCCCCCCCCAGCCCCTGTGTGCCCCCGGAGCGGGGCCGGATCCTGCACCCAAGCAGGGAAGGGCACAAACCCGCAGGGACCCGAGTGCCGGGTGATGGTGGGGCTGTGAGGGGGGGATGAGAGTTGCCAGCTCAGCTCAAGTCACTTTTCATCCGCTTTCCCTTTCAGGGAGAAAGCCGCCAGCGCCGTGTCCGGGGCGTGCAGCACCCATCCGGCTGTCACTGGGGCTGCAGGGCGCTGCCTTCCTCCGCCCTCCCTCCCTTTCTGCAGGGAAAGACCTGGCCGCCTCCATGTGGGACCAGCTCGGCCCAGGGAGGAGGAGGAGGAGCAGAAGGAGGAGGAAAAGCACCTTTAGGGGAGAAGAGCTGCCGGGCCTGGAGGTGCCGTTGCAGCCGAGCCTGTCCTCGGCAGCGTGCACGGCGCGGGATGTTGCCCAGACTGGTTTAGCAGAGCCGGCGCTCGGCCTTTCTCTGCTCCTGCCTCCGCCGCCCAGGCAGCACCCTGCTTTCATCTCCCTGTGCGGGGGCCTCGTGTTTACTCGCCCGTGAGCCGCAGCTGCCTCCTTGCAAGCGAGTCCAAGTCTGCAGGCGAACGGGCTGCAGCGAACGCCCAGAGCTGAGCCCAGCCTGGCAGAGCGGGTTTAGCTGTGACCCGGGCCTGGCGGTAGTTTTACCGCTTGTCTCCCCAGGTGCTGGTGGGGCGCAGATCTCAGTGTCACAAAGGCTTCCGTGAGAGCCCGAAGGACAGATTTGAACATCTCCTGCCTTGCCGGGCGTGGGCCGAGCAGGTATCACGCCCGCGGTCCCCGCTGCGGGGCTGACCCCTGCCCAAAAAGCACAGATGGCGTCTGCCCCGGAGCTGGAGCGGGCAGGGGCGGGCGGGCTGCGGGGCACTGCCATGGCACGGGGGGGCTGTGGTGGCCACCGTATGGTCAAAGGCAAATACTTATTTCTTTGGCTCAGGGCGCTGTCGCCCGCTGCTCCCGAGGAAACGATGGCTCGCCCTGCACCCTCCTCCTGCTGGGCTGCTCCGGCCCCTGACTATTGGGGTTTGCTTGAAACCAGCCCCTGAAGCTGGGGAGCAGGGGCAGCGATCGCACGGGCCCCCAGAAGCTGGCCGTGGGGGGAGCAGGGTCTGGGGGCCTCCTGCAGCCAAGTGGCTTCAGCCAGGGATCGGCCGTGGGGTCTGTGCCGGAGCCGTGTCCCCTCTGGGTGAGGATGGGGATGTCCCCAGCCGCCACCACCTCCCCGAGCAGCAGCTCCCGCTCAGAGCATCGCCGGGGCTTTGCCGTAAGCAGCGCTGCTGCTCGTGCGTGCGCCGGGCGCTGCCCCATGGCTGCGTTTCCCATCCCCAGGAGGTGCTGCCTCGTCCCACGCTTATCCCCCCCCCCGCCCTGCACCTTTGGGGTTGGGGAAACGGGCACGGGGTGGCACAGGACACGTCCCCGAGGGGCTCTGCCATCACGCTCAGCTCCCCCCCCCCCCC